GAAATTTCCGTCTCCAATATCATATCAAGATCACTCAATGAAAGTTCATGTTCTTCACTATCGGGTATGATTAACATTCTAAACCTATCTATATATTTTCCACTCGTTTTAATTTCATATAAGTGATTAACCTTGTTGTTTTCGTCGTTAATTTCATATTCTTTAGTTTCTACATTTTTTGTACCATTGATAAACTGAAGAACTTTACGAGCGGTGAATTGACTAGATGAATATAAGTTTTATATGAAGAATATTGATTCAACTTTTACCTGCATAAGAAAAATAATTTCAATTACAATTTTTCCTCGGAAAAAAAATTGAGAATCAAATATTTCATAGGGGGAGGTTAAATCTGGAGAATATACTCTTATATTTGCTGTAAATCTATATTTTTTCAATTCATAATCTTTTGATTTATCAATATTATCAGTAATAGAAGCATCGCTATGTCTATAACTCAAATTTACAAATGGAAGATTGAAATAATATGATTTATTTTCTTTCTTGAGATACTTTTCTAATGCGAGTATATTTTTGTTTAAAACTACGTTATTAATAGTGGTTATCTGTTGTAGAATAACACTATCATCAATGTTCTGTATTTGTTGTTGAATATAGGTTTTGATTTCGCTATCATCAATATTTTGTATTTGCTGTTGAATATTGGTTTTGATTTCGCTATCATCTATAATTTGTATTTGTTGTTTAATATTTCTTAGTTCTTTTTGTAATTCACTATTAAGTTTAGTTTCCAGAGCATTTAATTCCTGTTGAAACGTATCTTCATTTTCACCTGGAATGTTATCTATGAATTGTTGAATGTCTAATTTTTGTTTTGCAATCTTATCATCTAATTTTGATATTAATGAAATTAAATTTTGTAACTCAGTTTTGTTCACTACGTTGACTAATTGTTTTTGAATAAAACTTATTAAACCTGCTACCTCTTGTTGTAGTTTAGTTTCATTAATAAAATTTTTATTATTTAGTTGACATTTGAAGAATCTTTTAACATTGCTTATTTTATCTTCTAAATGGTTTTTATTTACTTCAATTGAATTTATTTGATCCCATAAATATTTCTTGTGAACAGCGTCATTATCATTTTCCAGAGTCTTTAAATTAGTTACTTTGAAATCGTTCATATCTAAATCCCCTTGAAGAGTGTCTCCGATNTGATCCACAAAGTAAGGTTTCGCTTTATTTATTCATGCTGTAGTGTTAGGTTTTTTAGTTTCTAAAGATAAAGGACCTAATCCAAACTTGTTCGCAATTTTTATTAAGTTAAATTTATTACAAGTTATTAATATAAGTTATTTGAAGAGTCGTTGTATCAGTTGTATTGTATTCATCTACAACCTCTGGTAATATTTTAAGCTATTTTTGAGATTTCAATTCCGTAAACTTTTTGAATAATTTATTTTTTAGAGTTCTATTATATCTCTCAATAACTACAGCTTTACCTTCATTATGCGTGCTGTAAATTTCAAACCCAATGGATTTCATATTTTTGTTATAAAATTCACTTCCTATATCTACCCACAGTTTTTTTGGAAGTCGGTTAGATTGTTTCATAATTGTTTCAAATGCGTGTTTGACTGATAATCCTGTTTTGTTTTTCAAAGGAATAACCTATGCATATCTCGTATACAAATCTATAACTGTTAAGCAATATTTATATCCTCTTTCGACTGGCATATTAATTAAATCGGCTGACCATATTTCATCTTTTTCAAATACTTTAACTTTTAAAAAGTTTTTAGTTTTTCTAAATTCTTTATGAATTTCATCCGCTAATCCCATGCCCAATTTCATCTTTGCTTTTAACAGTTTTACGATTAGAGCCCTTTGCATTCTCTCTTTGAAAGTTGGATTTGGAATATATTCAAGTTTGATTATCATTTGTCTGTCGGCTTCGTGTCTGAAGTTTATGTCTTTGTTTCTGTATAGTATGTTGTGTTTAAGCGCAGCGGCGTCAACTCTATTGACTGGTTTTTCACCGGGTTTGGGTTTATCGTTTTCGTCTAATCGTAGATCTAGTCTAGTACCTGAACCAGTGTAATTATGGCCGGGAAGATGTTTTTCTCCGGGATATTTTGCCCATGGAAATCCTGGAAGAGAACCCAATGATTTTTGTATATCTCCTGAACCAAAATAAGTTTTTAGAGCGTGAGCGACAATCATTTTTATTCTATAACTTTAAAACCTTTTCCTTTCCTTTCTTCTAATCTCCTGTTTCGCAGATCTCTTATTAGTTGTAATTCTTTCAACTCGTCAGATTGTTTCACTGCGTCGCTTATACTCTTTCCCGCTTTCGCGATTGAGCCGACTGCTTTAGCCTCGGATGAAATAAGTGATTTGTTGTTTGAAACAAAGCTAGCTACTTTTGGAATTATTGTTTTACCTATTATTATTTTTGAACCTAGAGAAAATATTGATGAAAAGATACCGTCGCCCGAATAATCTTTGAATTTGTGTTGTTCGTGTTTTAGAATTAAACAACTATTTTTTAAATGAGTTCATTTAACGAAGAAATTGTGGTCTGTTTTTTTTTCCAAAAAAAGAGTTATCTTCCTTCTAGAAGTTTACTAAAAATAACATTATTTAAAACGAGGCTATTAAAAAACCGGATGTTAAGCGAAACAAGGAAGTTATTTTATATAAGGGTATATTTAATATGCTTTTTTCGTTTAATTTAATGAATAGGTTCTTTTTTGGGGGTTGATGGAATGTAGGAATTGATTAAAGGTGTTTTTTGGTGTAGGAATTTATGAAATGTAGGGTGTTTAGGTGTTTTTTGGTGTAAGAATTTATGACATGTAGGGCGTTTTGGTCTTTTTTGAGACCTTTCAATATGGTCGCACTTTCCCCATGGAATGAAATGGAATGGGGAATCCCCTTGCGAACATATTGAAAGGTCTAGTAACGCTTTCTATAACCAAATTATCTTCAGAGGAATCACCTGTATCCGTATCACCAGTTGTACTAGGTACTTCATTTTGAGAATCTTCCAGTAATTGATTGATTTGATCAACAACCTATCTTGGGTCAGTGCCAACGAATCAGAAGCAGTTTCACTGTCCAATCACATCTTGTGATAAGACCTTTTTCTTGCAGATTCTGACTGCGAGTTCAGAGTTGGTCTATTTACTATTTAAGTCATTAGACCCTTATTAGCAGATTGCTCTATGAAACGCTTATTAATTTCTTCAATGATTGTTCGTGAGCTTTGCTTATTTGAGTCATTTCTTCACGTAAAGAGTCTATTTCCTCTTTCCTTGTATTTGAAATTTCCCCCATCATGCTGCTAGAACTACCAAACCCATAACCCATCGAGCTTATTCGGGTAGAAACTCTGGCATGTATAGCATTAACAAACTTATCTTTAGAAATCAGAAAATTCGAGATGTGGAATCCGACATTTCGACTTGTGGAATCAGAAATATTCAGAAAATTATAAATAAATATATTTTTTTAAAGATGTGCCTAAAAAGCTTACGTAGGTAACTTTACCATAGCTTTCATTTTAGACCTTTGAAAGTAACTGATATGAATGACTTTCATCAAGTTTGAGCTATGAATATTAACTTAACTACCAAACCCATAACCCATCGAGCTTATTCGGGTAGAAACTCTGGCATGTATAGCAGTTACAAACTATCTTTAGAAATCAGAAACTTCGAGATTTCGACTTGTGGAATCAGAAATATTCAGAAAATTATAAATAAATATATTTTTTTAAAGATGTGCCTAAAAAGCTTACGTAGGTAACTTTACCATAGCTTTCATTTTATACCTTTGAAAGTAACTGATATGAATGACTTTCGTCAAGTTTGAGCTATGAATATTAACTTAAAGGGGCATTTGATTGAATGTCAACGTGCAGAACTCGGGTTATTGTTCATGGTATTATATATACGAGCTTTGAATAGACCTGCAACTCTTCACTTTTGGAGGTAGCTTTGTGAAATTGTTACCTATTGGTGGTTCAGAATTTATTTCTCATAATCAAGTATCTGCTGGTACAGGGGGTTTCAAAATACTTACTAAAACCGGTTTAGACATTTGTAGCTGTCTGACTTAACGCTTGGATATTTTAAGTTGAAATGGGGTATCTTCCTCTACATGTTCTGACCCTTTAAGACCAAATTAAGGTTAAATACGAGCGACGGAGTGTTGCATACGGTCAAGAGAGTCAAAGCAAATTACAAAAACAATTTATTTTTTGTTGATGATATAATAAAACTGTTTTATCAATAATGACAAAAATGATTATCATCTTAAAATTCATAATATGGTAACATTTCTAACTTAAACAAAATATATATTGTATGCTTTTCCGAAAAACATGCTGGAATGGCCTTAATTGGCTATCTTCGAGTTCAACTGGCTAAAACAGTACTGCTGGAATTCCATATTCGATACGATGATGACACAAACTCTCGTTCTGAAATAATATAAAATTTGTTGTTGTGTCTTATTAAAAATTCAACCATTATTATGCACCTATTATGTTCGTACACTATCAGGTTAGGTCAAATAGTTTATTCAAGAGGGCTGTCGTTAGACCTTAATTGAAATGGCTTTATTAGAAATAAAAGCTAAGAGCAACAATAAGTGGTTGCCGAGTAAGATACGCCCACTTCCCTGACGAATTTTCAATATATCAAGGGCGGTCAACAATCTGTGTCAAATCTTACCTAAAATCTAACTTTTCCAAGACTTAAACCAACACACAAAATTACTGAAATTCTGATCTAAAACTGTCACCTCTTTTTACAAGCCACATTTAACATAATTTCGTACCATTAAAATTATTTATTGTGTTTTTCCTTATTCAAAGGCAATAATAACTCAAAAATCATAGAAAGATAGCTTGCCAGGCAATGTAATATACGCCCACTAGCAGCTTTGATTTTAAATAAAAATATTCCTCTACACTTGAAAAAGGATAATATTTCGAAAACCGGTTCGTGTCAATTTCGTAAGTTTTTGTTTTACTTGTTATAATTTTTCACAACATTGTTAGCGTTATTTATCACCTAAATATATATTTTTGCATTTTTCATCATAACTTTCATCTTACTTTATATATCCCCAAACCCAGTTTGAATTATTTGCATAATTTGATCCCCACATTTTCATGCTAGCATATACAGTTTCCTCCTGTTACATCCGCTGTACATTCCCTTTCTGACCTCAAGTTATTTTCATTATGCTCCCCAACTACAACAACCACTGGCAAGAAGCCAGACATAGAAACACTAATCGTCAACCAAACCAATATCACGTACCCTACAGCGGCCCTGTCTTCCATCGACCTCTACCACCTACCAATCGCCGACCACCAACCAACCCATCCAGCTACATCCCACCCCATCGCCGACCTACCCATAACACCTACCAATCAAGAGGTAACCATCAACAGAAACGACTACCAGCCCACCGACGCCAACCAGTCCCCACTCATAAGGAGGAAGAACCCTTTGTGAAGGCGTTCTTCCAAGTTTTGCAGTGCCTCCATCATTTGGCAATCCTTACCCTTCAACAGCAAGGCCAACCAGCGTTTACCTTCAAACGCAAAGTCTCTGAGTTGGATAGTTTTATCCGTCCAGCAATGAAAACATCAGCTGTTGACGCGAATATTAGATCCCTCAATCGGACATGGCTCTCTAAGGTTACACAGGAAATCGGAAATGACGTACAAAATTTGACTGTATCATATTATTAACATTAGTGAAGTCTCTTTGCATTTAAAATTTCAGGTCAATCGATGCAAAAGCAAAAAAGTTGCAAAAAAATCGAAAAATTTTTCAAATGCTATCAGGTCAGAAATTACAGGTAGATTGTAATAATGAAAACCCGAAGAAAATCGATGCAAAAATGCGCCTTCTAGAGCCGATTTTCGACTTTTCGCACATGTTGAACTGTGGCACTTCCGGTTTTGCAAAAATGTTCCAATTTATATTTATGCACATCGTCGCCTATATAGAAGGTCTATGAAATTTGAAACGTAGCTGCAACTACTGCAGTCTAAGCTCGGGAAGGTGTGGACGAAACGAAAAAAAAAAAAAAAAAAAAAAAAAAAGAATGGACATTTCGATAACAAACTAGAACCACTCGTGGTACTGAGTGGGACTTTGCTCTTGTGCCAATCTGTTAGAGAATCTGAAAAAATCAACGTTCTTGGCCAATTAGGTCACGTGCTAAAGCAGTTAAAAGCCAGACATAAAATATGAAAATATGATTAAATTTCCAAGGTCAATGACCTTTGACCATGTTTAGGGGAAGGTCATTTAAGGTCAACGTCACTAGATATGATTCATCAAACTTTGAATATACAAACATTATAAAACCGGAAGTTGACGATGAACATCAAATATGAAGGAATAAATCTTTAGCCAAGGTCAATGACCTTCGATCCTACAAAGGTCAAGGTCATCAATGGTAAAGGTCAAAAGTTGAAAATATGCAAAATTTAAACCCTGTTCCTTTTTTTTGAACTACGAAGCGGAAACAACTGACCTTTTCACACAAAATGGCCAAAGGGGTGAGGTAATTGTGTGCAAGGTCTTGTTTTGAACAAATGTATGTTATACAAGTTATACCCCTGATAAAAATGTAAATAATAAGTAATTTAAGCTTAATGTGCCACGCCCACCTCAACTTTTTTGTCATACGTCAATTCATATTTAATATGTCTCGTTGTGTTCCAAATTCCAAGCTTTTACAGCAAATAGGTCATAAGAAATACATAGAACTAGCTCAAAGAAGCTAACATATTGTAAAAAAACACCGAAATTTCAAAAATTCAGAAATTTCGATTTTGCATTATATATCACTGGAAAGAGCACGATGAGCACATTCAGAATCCACAACAATTTACCTTCAAAGTTAATTAGGTCACGAGCTAGAGCAGTCCAAATTTGCGAATTCGGGTGTTTTTGGACAGCTATAAAAGCGGAAGTAGACGTCAGAGGTCCAAATATGAAAGCATAAACTAATAAACAAGGTCAATGACCTTTGACCCAATAAAGGTCAAGGTCATCAAAGGTCAAGTTCAAAAATTGAAAATTGTGAATTTCCAAAACCTGTTCCTTTTTTTGAATTATAAAGCTGAACTAACTGACCTTCTAAGACAAAGTGGCTCACAGGATGACGTAATTGTGAGCAAAGTTCCATTT